GATTTATCATCTTCCTCCTTGGGGATGATATCTACGGATTTATCATTCTTCCTCCTTGGAGATGATATCTACGGATTTACGCGGTCTTGAGAATCGTCTGCTACCCCGATGGAAAACTTCGGTGGAAACGTAATTTTCGGCCGACTGCAAAAATTTCGAAAGTGCGTCATCTTCCTCCTTGGGGGTGATATCTACCGATTTACGCGATTTTGAGAGTCGTCTGCTACCTCGATGGAAGACTTCGGTGGAAACGTAATCCTCAGCCGCCTGCAGGAATTTCGAAAGAGCGTCTTCCATTTCTGAATTTGTGTCGATAGGTTTGATCAAATCGGGACACTTATCGGTATCTTCGGACATGATTAAATTGTCATCGCATTCGCGAATGTTGCGATTATTTTCAGCAGTTTCTTTTTGATTCATATCTGAATTGTCGATAAGAGATTGTTCTTTTTGCAACTGATAAGATAGATCGTCTTTGTGCCACTCGGAGATCTTTAAGTTGGGGACGCTTTCATCAGTTTGTCGTTCGTTTAAAATTGAATCGTCAGCAATGCAATTGACGGTGACAATAGGAAATTCACTTCGCACCTTCGATTGATCGTCGATAAAGCACGTCTCCTTAACGCGTTCGAGAACAGGAGCGACGTTCTTCTGGAGAACGCGTTCAAGGTAGCGACCCTTGAAACTCAAACGTCGCTCGTGAATCTTTGATGTATTTGATGATTCGGTGACGCCAGGTCTCTGCAACAAAAACTGGAATAATGTTGTTATCAAGGACATCAGCCGGATGGTCTCGCGTTTCAGATATGTCGCCAGGTATCTTCCCTTCATTCTGCAACGGAGGACGCGATTCGTTTTTGGTTTCGAACGAAAATGCTTAGCAACAGCGCTGACATTTCGGAGCAGAATCCTTTCCGCATAGTGCGCTCGCGCGCATCTGCTCGGCCTCCTTCGAGTTGACGAAAGGCCAGTACTTTTTAGCCGATTGTATTCCTTCGAATATGCGTTTCCCGATTTATCTATCGCTAATTCATCGAGTTGATTATCAATTTGTCGATCGCGAAGAATGCAAGAACCGTAACCACGAAGAACGTTCTCTAGATAGTAACCTTTGAAGGGTGACCTGAAGTCGTCGTATCTGTCGGTGGAACTGCGTCTTCGATTCAACTTGACATGAAAGGGCTTTGATTCGCATTTATATGACATGTGACATGACGGTAATTCATCCTTGGAGATAAGAAATTCGCTTCTATCGAATTCTGAAGGATGATGATGTGAGGGTGATAATGAACTGTCAGTGTTATTGAGAGAGCAGGTTGAACACGAGGAATTTGAATCGGACACAGTAGGGGGATGATTTTCTTCGAATTTATTCTCCGTTTCACGCATCTTTACCTCGGACACTTCCGGCGGTTCCGGTGTCCTCGCGATGGTCGTCTCTGATCCTGGCGGCAGTAGACCCTTCTCCACGAGACGCGCGATCACCGTCTTCTTGTCCTGTTTCTTGATGACGACCTTGTAACTCTCGCCCTCGTCCTCTTCCACCTTTTGCTCGTTCTTTGATTTTGGCACTGGTCGCACTGGCTTTTGCAGGAAGGTAGAGGTACGTTTCAACTCCTGTACTCTCTCGGGCTCGACTGTCGCGATATGTTGCAGCTCCTCCAGAACCTTGGAACCTTTCAAAATCGGAGCTCGCGGCCGCAATTTCTTGAAGTTCACTCTGTCGAGCGCGTTAAAGGCGCGGAAAAGGAAAAAAATTATTATTGTCGAAAAAAATAATTTCGATTATTTATTTATTAAATTTTATTAATTTAACATTTCTGAAAAATATATAAAATGATTTAAAAAATTTATACGATAAGAGAAATATTTCACATATTTTCGAAATTTATTTATATCAACTAATATTGAATCAAGATTTCTTCAATGAGTAAAAAAGTTTTCAATTTTTAATAATTTGTATTAATACGCAATAATTTGTATTTATACGCTTTGATATTTTTTTTAATCTTTTGCTTAAGATTTTTCCATGTTCACAATATTTTCAAATAATTAATAGTCTTTCGCTTGTACTCCTAAATGAGAAGAGTGATGAGGGAGTGAATACTGAATAAATCTTTAATTGCACGGTGTCACCATCGGTCGATTCGACAATCATGGAAATATACCCCAGTAATCCTTTATCGGACAAGAGCTCCTCCTCCTCGAGGATCAGCTGAGCGATCTCGTCATCTGTAAGATTTTTGTTGGGCACGTTCTCGCTGTCGACGTCCACCGGTTTCTCCTCTACGAGCTTCTCCTCCTCCTGCCTGATCTCGTCTTCGGCGGACAACGGCTCGACGACGGTCTTGTCTTCTTCGTACCGCTCGATCACTGTCTCCTCCTTTAAGATCTGTTCTGGGAAGACCGGCGATAAGTCTGCAAGCTAATAAGCGAACTCGACGTCATCGTCTCACCGCTACTTTCTCTGCTTCTCTGCTCATATCTTTCTTTAAATGTCAAGCGGATTTGAGATCAAAGATTTTCCATCGATTTCCACGATTTAATTTTCAGTGAAAAATACTACGACTTTTTTTAATTGCAGATGGAAAATATATAAGAGTCACTATATATACTTCTGCTACGAACGTAATACTCAGATTAATCGACACTTGATTCATTATATTAAGTTGAATATTGTTGAATATTGGATATAATAAAATTTTTATGACAATATTTTTTTTTTCAACTTTTGTAAGAATATCTCAGCCTCACACAGCTAAACACTTTTTTTATCTCTTAAGATAAAGGAAGATATGATTTACTTAACTCTTACTTGGTGACGTAAAAGCTTCTCGTCCCTTTGCTCGTACGACATTTTTAAATTTATTCGGGGAAAAGGATCATCCCTTCGGAAAATCGCACGAAAGATTTTAAAGTTTCGCGGACGTGAGAAAGTAATATGCGAAAGAGGCGAATACACATCGCGCCGGGAAGAAGATGAGGACGAATGCTGGAAATGCTCGCATAGCTCTCGTCACCAGTCAAGAGTGCAACGGGGGGATGCTGTTTACCTTTCATCTCACGGATTATACTCACGGCGATCTTATATGGGACGATGTTCTCTTCCGATAGCGCCTCGGCGGCCTTTCGTGCCTCTTCCTCTCTGCGCAAGCAACAAACACGGCGACCAAGAAAAGATAGACTTTCTCCCGCTCGGCGACGATGCGACCGGTTCGGATTATGCGCGCGGACGCGATTATACGCCGAGTGCACCGCGCGCGCGGATTCCGCGTGCTGGTTCCGTTCTCTCTCGCTCCGCTCTCCGCGGGGTGGCGGATCCCGCGAATGCGACAAACGGGAATGCAGGAGACAAACGGGGCGCGACCGGGGACCAGCAATAAAATCGCCGACCAATGATAAACAGATCTCTCATTCTGGGTCATCTATTTATAGGTGTCGCAATACATTGCCACATACGTAGCTCATACGCCGGGATATTCTTGCCGCGACGTCGAAGTTATTATCGAAGAGTATGCCGGCGATGAATGACGTGCGCCGCCTGCTAAGCTTCGTTAGGCATGAGATCCTTGGGAACTCATTAAATTTGTTTATAACCTTTGGCCACCACGCTCCAAAACTAAATCCGATCTCGATGACGACGTAAAATGATCGGAAGGATTTGTTAATTTCGTCACTTCTTTCGTACTTTCGGATGACGACTCATTCTATTACATTTTGGTTCCGTCAGACAGAAGTTGTTTAATATTTGAAGAAATTTAACTATTATATACATACATATAGATAAGCAATATTACATATAGATAAGAAAAAAAATATATATATATATATATA